ATCTTTCAGGTAATTTGTAGATACCATTCCAATAGAAGTTTTTTTGTTTTGAGGCAAACCATTCAAAGACCCAATTTTCCACCTCTTTGTATGTTTTATATATATATATATATATATATATATATATATATATATATACATATATATTTTTTTTTTTTTTTTTTTTTTTTTTTAACAGAGAGGAAGGGAGAGGGATAGAGAGTTAGAAACAACAATAAGAGAGGAACATCAATCAGTTGTCTCCTGCACACCTCCCACTGGGGATGTGCCCTAAACCAAGGTACATGCCCTTGACCAGAATCAAACCTGGGACTCTTCTTCAGTCTGCAGGCCGACGCTCTATCCACTGAGCCAAACCGGTCAGGGCTTTTCATAAGTTTTGAAGTGCTGATCAGAAAGTGCATGTGCTATTGATCGGAACAAGTGGTAATCTGAAGGAGCAAGGTCTGGTGAATATAGCGGGTGGGTTAATACTTCCCTGGCAAGATTTTTTAATGCATCTTTAACTGACTTTGAAGTGTATGATGGTGCATCATCATGAAGCAAAATTACTTTGCTGTGTCTTCTGGCCCATTTTGGTCATTTTACAATCAAAGCATGGTTTAAATTGATTATTTGTTGTCGGTAATGATAAGTATTAAAGGTTTCAGCTGGTTTTATTTATTTTTATTTTTTAAAGATATATTTTATTGATTTTTTTTTCTTTCAGAGAGGAAATGAGAGGGATAGAGAATTAGAAACATGGATGAGAGAGAAACATCCATCAGCTGCCTCCTGCACACCTCCCTCTGCGGATGTGCCTGCAACCAAGGTATTATACATGCCCTTGACCAGAATCTATCCTGGGACCCTTCAGTCCACAGGCCAACACTCTATCCACTGAGCCAAACTGGTTAAGGCTCACCTGGTTTTAGAAGCTCATAATACACCACACCTTCCTGATCCCACCAAAACCAGAGCATTGTCTTCTTTCCGAAGAGATTTGGCCTTGCAGTTGATGTTGATAGTTGACCTGGGTCAACCCATGGTTTTGTATGTTTGGGATTCTCAAAATAAACCCACTTTTCATCATTAGTAACAATTCAATGCAAAAAAAGACATTGATTGATTACTTTTCAGTTTTCCATTTGTCTTTTGTTCAGTTGATGTGGCACCCATTTTCCTCCTTTTAAAATCTTTCCTATTGCTTGTAAATGATCAGAGATTGTTTACTGAGCAACATTTAATTTTTCTGAAAGTTGTTTTTGAGTTTGACATGCATCTATCCAATAATGCTTGTAATTGTTGGTCTTCAAACTTTTTCAGTTGACCTGGATGTTCTTTGCCTTTCACATTGAAATCATCACTTTTAAAGCATTTAAACCAGTGTTCACAAGTATCTCGAGATGGAGCATGTTCACTATAAGCATGCTGAAGTATATAATAACTTTTCTTCAAAATAAAGTAATGAATTAAAACTTCCTGCAAATACTCTTTTTTTGGGGGGAGGGGCACAAAATTCGACATTTTTAAGCATAAAAATATCTATAATGTTAACACTTTCAGCAAATTTGACATATGAAGTTTTGAAGCTTGCTGTCAATACAAAATAGCATACATGTCAAATCATATATTATATATATCAACATATGTGTAGCTCCATCTATTGAAAAACATCCCCATTATGAACTGGTACACCTAGTAGATAAGTTTGGGAGTGCATTAACTACAAGGAAATGAGTTCTAAATGAAGGACTAACTGGGAGCTCTAAGAGGCTGTCATCTCCACAGTCTTGGGTGGTCTGGGTGCCACCCTGTCCTCATTGTCAGAAACAGGAAATGTGACCGAGGCATTTCTGCCCCTCCTTTCTGCGGAGCAATTCTTCTCCTTGTACTGCTATTGTCCGTCTCCCTTCTCCCCATCCATCCATCATCATTTACTGTTTTCTCTGGTGCCTGTCACCTGGCCTCTCCAGCCAAGGTAGACTGTAGAGTAATGAACGGCGGGAGGGAGAGGCTCTGGGCCATCCTGTGTTCTTCTCAGGATTGAACAACGTGCTCCCTGGGACTGCTCATGACAGCAGCTCCTTGATTCTGGGAAGGCATCTAAGGACTGCCGGCCTGGATGCTCACCCAGTTGCTAGCCGGCTAGAATAAATCTCAGAGCACAGAGATTCACAGGCTGTATGGTCTTTGGCCACAGCCTTTACCTTTGGTTGTGACAGCTCTGTTTTCAAGAATATTTTCCCTAAGTCAGTGCTGTTTATTGGAAATTTAGTAAGCGAGATTAAAAACGTGTGGTCTGTAAGGAGGACATCTCAGCGAGTACAGTGTAGCGGGCCCTTGATAGCAGGACTAGAGTAACATAAAAGTTCTTATATGTGGAATTGCTCTTCAGCTTAAAGTCTCTTTCCTTTTTTCTTTTTTTTTTCTTTTCATATTTCTACCCAAGCTTTCAGTAATCCTGTGTCTATAGCTAACAGGGATTTAGAATAAATGACTGGAGGTGGGTAAATCAGGTCTCTATTTAAATTTTGAATACCAAAAATCACAGAACATCAGAATTTTTAATTTTTAAAAGCCTTTGGAGATCATGTAGTCTTTAAAAAGATATGCTCACATCTAGTAGATTTAGGTATTATTTTTTGAGTGCATTCATTTATTCCATAGTCAGTTATGTTGTTCCTGGAGTGTAGAATATAACCAGGTTTCTTCTATACACCTGCTCCTCCTCCCCCCATTTCCTTGGTGATTCAATTGTGTCTAGATTTTATGATCTTGGAAGGGGAAGTGTTGATAAAGGAGGCTTATTGACTGCCTCTTTTTTTCTATCTGTGACTATCCAAGGACCTCGGAGGAGGATTTTTATAAAGGAGCAATGTTTGTGCAGTTCTTGATGCTCTCCTTTTACTCAGTGGAACAGTCATATCACTGAGGCAAAGATAGTACAATGAGATGGATTTCTTTCTAATGAGAAAAAATAGCTCATGCTTTAGACTTAAGCGCTGAATATACCATTGTATTTTCTGTTTTTCTTAAGACAGACCTTGCTCTGATTAGTTGGTGGAAACAACTAATCCAAGTGGGATTTGTCTAGACTCTGGTGCCCCTGGGAACTCTTGAGGATCTGGGCTATGGATTTCTGAAGCTTCACATGTTTTTATCAGTCAATTTCCAAGATGCCTCAGAGACCATTAAGATAGATAATAGATCAGGTGAGATTAAGCTGTGTTTGGTATCATGCAAAGAAGTATAATTAGAAAGAAAATGTTTAATTTAGAAAAAATAAGGGAAACATTGTAAATGCAAATTGTAAAGGTTTTGAGAAGGCCATTTTGTGGCATGTATCTTTCCTGTCAGAGTCCTGAAACTCTTCAGAAATAACATAAGATAGATGAAAGATGAAAATTACTTTTATATTGATATAGGCCAGATTGTTCTAAACGAACATCAAAATTAAACTGACTTGCGCACCCACTTACAGAGGGTGCTGGAACACTGGTCCTTCTCTGACAAGGCAGAAGCTTTATTACTAAATTTAGCAAGACCACACTTATTATCTACTAGAGACCCGGTGCACGGATTCATGCACCAGTGGGGTCCCTCTGCCTGCCCAGCGGGGATCAGGCTGAAACTGTCAGCCTGACATTCCCCATGGAGCCCCTGAGTGTGAGAGGGCACTCTGCAAAGTTGCTGTCTTCTGGAGCTCCTGTGTTGAGCATCTGCCCCCTGGTAGTTAATGCATGTCATAGCTACCAGTAGGTCAGCTAGTGGCTTAGGCTGTTATATGTCATTAGGTTTCTAAAACAGAATAAGGGGGGTTGCTAAAGCAAGTATGCCCAGCTTTTTCATCTCAATTTTACCAGAGGAGTTAGTTCACTTTCCCTGGAGTGGGTTAAGATGGAGAGCAGTTAGGGATTACATTAATAAAGCTTTATTTTAATGGGAACAAATCTGAGCATTGGGGGTGGAAGGAGAGTATTTCTCCCAACACCATAAAATATACATTGTTTTCGCATCCTAAACTCTGTGTGATCAGGATATATCTGTAATCAATGGCATCTTAATGGCTATCCAGCTGAAGACAGTCATAATGACTTGTTTTGCCTCAGTGTGTGGGAATTGAGTGACTATTCCTCATATTGTGACTCTTTTTCAGATAATGAACCTCTTAAGGACCATTTGAGGAATGGATATGAGTCTCCCTTAGTACAGGGACATGTTTTCTTTAGATCTTCTGGTGGCATCAAGAACATATCAATATATCAAACCTGGCTGAGTGGATATCAATGAGCAGCTTGAAATAAAGTTCTGGAAACACTCCTCTAAGAAACTCACTTGCTGACAATCTTTAGAAAACAAGGGTAGTCACAACCCTGAGTCATTCAGAAGAGCTGGACTCCGAGTATTCCATAGTTTTAGGAATTTTTCAACCAGTTTATTTTTCTTATATCTCCTTATTTCATGTGTATGTGAGACTTATGGTAAACATCCACCTATTTTAAAAGGAACTTTTCAGTAAGGAAAAATAAAGATCTTAAGTGATAAGGAAGCATTCTGTAGTTTACTTACTGTTAAACTAAAATAATAGCAGATCTTTCAATCAATGGGATCTTAGATTTGATGAAATACAAACAGTTGAGTTCATTTGGGTCTTTGCTCCAACCTTTACTGCCCTGGACAACTTTGAATGGCCGTTCTCTTCCCTTGAAAGTTTCCTGTGTATACTGTCCAAGATAGATACTGGTAGTTAGAGAGCAAGAGCTATACCCTTGCACTTTTCTTGAAATATACTCTTTATTCCCACTGTGCTTCCATGAAAATGCTCATTCATAGTTTATTTAATGTGGAAGGCTAGACCAAGTCATTCCAAATTGTATTGTAGATATTGAAGGCAATTGTTTTCAAAGATGGTCCTTCTTATGCCCCCATAACGCTTATCTAGATATGCTTGGTTTATTTCTTTATAATATTTCTAAAAAAATTATATCTCTATTTTTTTTTTATTTTTTTTCTGAAAGGGGGTCCTGATGACAATTTAATAGAAGGTGGAGGAACAAAATTTGTCTGCAAACCTGGAGCCAGAAATATTACCGTCATATTCCATCCGCTGCTAAGGTAAGTCCAATCCTGTGTAAACACTGAAGGTCAATACTTTCATTATTGATGCAGATGTGCAGAACACTATTAGGTCAGTCAGCATTGAAACATCATAAAAAAGAAAACTTGCTCCATTTCTTAAGGCCTCACTATCAAAGTGGTCAATAGAATAAATAATGTCAACCCCACTAAGTAGCTGCCTGTTCTCAGGAGTAATACTTCATAAATACTTTAGACTTTCTCTCCTACTCCCTGTCCCTGCTCTTCTCCCTTCCTCCATCTTTTCCTTCCTCTCCTTATGTATTTCAGAGATTGGCAAACTAAGGCCCATGGGAAAGGGCTAACCTGCCACATGTTTTTATAAATACATTTTTATTGACACACGGTCATGCTCGTTCATTTACTTATTGCCCATTGCTGTTTTTGTGCTACAGATGCAGCCGTGAATATTTGCAGCAGAACCCATATGGCCCATAAAGCCTGAAATACTTATGCTTAAGCTCTTGACAACAAAAAATTGCAGACCAGTGATCTGTCTCATTAATTTGCACTAATTACTTAGACTTCCTTTGAGAATTTGCAGGTCTCTGAACAAATATGATTTATAAAACTAAAGAATATTATATTAGTTAAATACATGATTTTTATATGTAGAAGGAAAACTTGATGGTGACTATTACATTGCTCAGATTATTGTGATACTATGATGTAAGAAAGTAAGAATCCATGATAGTTCTATTTTTAAAAAAAATTTAAGCCCTAAGTATCATTAAAAGGGTGCTTTTTGGGATGAGGGAAGGGGGTTTGTTCAGTGGATCTAAAGTTTCAGTTTTGCAAGATGAAAATGTTCTTGAGATCTATTACAACAATGTGCATATAGTTAACATTTACTGTACTGCATCCCTGAAAGACATTAAGATGGTAAATTATGAGTTTTGGCAATAAAAAAAAGAGAGCTTTTGGGATTAATATAATATCTAATGTAATATTAGTTATATGTTTTTCTTGGTAATAACCAGTGTATATTTTTGCTATATTTTCATACAATGAATAAGAAACTCTTGAATTAATTAAAAGTAAGATACCTCATATCATCATGTTAACTTTATTAGGTAACTTCTATAATATTTGAGGCATTTGAATTAATGGTTAAACAGATGCTACTGAATTGGTCAGAGATAATACTTTATGTACTTTTCCAAAACATAAGTACCTTATTACTGGAATTATCCTACCAACTCATTAGCCAAGAATTACTAAATTGATATCATTAGAATTCATTTAATTCTAATCTTTTAACCAGTTTTTAAAAATTGTACCAGAATACTTTATCCATTTAGGTTTAAATGCAAAAAGCAAAAATAAGTAAATTCAACAACAATAACAATAAAAAGCCCACCTTTCCACAATAAAAAATAAAAGATTTTATTAAAAATTTTTTAAAATATATATTTTATTGATTTTTATACAGAGAGGAAGAGAGAGGGATAGAGAGCTAGAAACATCGATGAGAAAGAAACATCAACCAGCTGCCTCCTGCACACACACACACACACACACACACACACACACCCCGGGGATGTGCCCGCAACCAATGTACATGCCCTTGACTGGAATCGAACTGGCACCTTTCAGTCCACAGACTGACGCTCTATCCACTGAGCCAAACCAGTTTCGGCTACAAATAAAAGATTTTAAAAGAAATGTTATTAACCTTTGAAAAATTGGTTTAGCAAACATTTGAGTAAATTCATGTAATTTAATAATGACTGAATTAAGAGAATTAAGACTATTGCTCTAAATGTAGTTGATTTTATATACCTATGAAATAGGTAAATTAAAGCATATAGAATTTCTGGATTAATTAACAATTCTCTCATATATCGACTAACTTTGGTAATTAATTTAGTACTCACTCTCTTCTCCAATTACAATTGATTTCTACTTAGTTAATGTTGCTAATTGTTAGGAAAATGGGAAATTACCTAAATCAGTATAGGCATCTTCTAACCTAGATTGAACGCCATAATTGACTGCAGAGTTCTGCATGGCTTGGTAAATGGAATCTTCGTGCTTACATTTGTCCCTAAGTACAAAAGAAACAAACACTCTGGAAGTTTTTGGCAGTGTTTATAATAGCCATTTTTCAAGAGCTTTTTCCTCAGAAACATTTTTTCCTATTTCAATGTGAAGTTAGTTGAATGGAAAAAACTTACCATTTCCCACTTAATAAAATGCAATTTGAGTAAAATACTGGTAGAACTTAATGCATTACAGTTCTTGACAATTATTGTTTAGTGTTATTTGTGCCTGCTTTACTGAAGAGTTGTTTTGAGGCTTGAGAATATTCCTATTAGGTTTACTCACTTGTTTGGTCTCTACATTCATTCAGAATTGTATTATTATTTTTTAATTTTTATTTTTATTTTCAATCCTCACCTGAGGAGTGAAGATATTTTTTCCATTGATTTTTTAGAGAGAGTAGAAAAGGGGGAGAAGGGAGAGGCAGAGAGAGAGATAGGGGGAGGAGGAGAAACACATCATCTGGGACACATCAATTGGTTGCCTCCTGCATATGCCCAACCTGGGGCAGGGACCTGATCTGCATTTCAGGTATGTGCCCTTGATCAGAAATCGAACCCAAGACCCTTCAATGGGCAGTTAGATGTTCTTCTACTGAGCACAAAGGCATTAGATTTTCATTATTGATTACAACTAGAGAAAGTTTTGTTTCATGATTACAATAGTTTAGCATGCATTTATTCTCTGTGTAACTCTTAATATTATGTGGTCTGCAAGGTAAATCAACTCTTTCCCAAGAAGGTGATCATCATAGACTTTAAATTAGCCTTTGACTCAAAGTGCAACCTATCTTCTCAAACCATTACAGAGTTTTAGCTGATAACTCCTGATGGGCTTATGGAACTTCAAATGACTAAGATCTTTTAGTACTTATTTATTTATTGGTTTGTTTGTTTGTTAATTTTAGTTTTTATGCTTCAGCACCTGTTGATTATTAGATTTATTATTTCTTCTAAAGTTTGAAAGTTTACTTTCAGTAATGAGAAGAATCAGAGTGCATTGTCATACTAGTATACTTTATTTTTACTATTATCATTTGAAAATTTCCCATTTCTTTTGTAGTCATTCATTTATTTATGGTCAATAAATGCGATGCTTATTGAATGCCTGTAATGTGTGTTTTCTCTAAGTTAGATCTGGGGTCTTGTTTAGAAATAGTCACTCTTATTGTTATGGGCTTGCTTGTTTAAATATGTATAGATATACTTTTCATCCTTTTGCTCCTTGTTTGTTTTTTGTTTTTTGTTTGTTTGTTTGTTTGTTTTGTGCTAAAGTGAATGTGATTTAGCAACTTATGACTTAAAAGAAGATGTAACATAGTGGGAGAAGCAGTGTAGAAGAATGGAAAGTTAGGAAAAAGCATAATTTTAAAATTTAAAAAGAAAACCAGAACAAGTTACCAACGTTCAAATGTAAGTTCCATCACTTCATTTTTACTCACTGATTATTTCTTGAACTCTGATTCTATGCCAGGTTCTGAGGAAACAAAAACATAAGATGGAATTCTTGCCTGCTCACTTGATGGCTGCTTAGGTGGCAAAAAATTAGAAAGACGCAAACACCAATTGTTGGGGAGGAGGTTGATCAGTGGGTTCTCGTATACCCACAATGTAAATTGGGACAGCCTCTGCAAACAGCTTGACATTATTGAGCGATCACATCCTGTCACAAAGCAGTCCCATCCAGATGTGTTTCTGCTCGATTGGAGTGACTAATTTTATTTCCATCCCAATCTTCCACTCTTTCTCATTGATTGTAATAATGAGTCTTTATAACTCCATATTAAAAATAAGTTCAGAAGGAACTCATCACTAATTGACTTTTATCACAAGCCAGCACTGTTCAAACATGATGTCATTGTTTTCCTCAACTCTTTCAGTGAGGAATCTCAAACACTTTCTACCAGGAAGGAAGAAACCCTACCCCGGGGCCTTCATTTTTCCTTCCCTTCACTTCTCCTGTGTCTAGCAACACTGTTCTCTGTCTTCTAGAAACTTTGGCTGTGGCTTTTCCACACTTTATTTATTGAAACATTTCTTTTCATAATTTTTATTCAGCTGCCAGTGCATTCTTTGCAGCCTGAAGGTTTTCTGTATAGAAAACTGAAGCACCTGCTGAGAACACCACACCGTGGATTCCCATTATGCTGTTTTATATATGCTCAGCAGTTGTTTATACTGTTCTCACATAAACTTACTGCACAGGCTCCTCAGATCTGGTAACATTGCAGACTTGTTCTTATATTCTTCTCAACTAATGCTGGCCCATCACCAGGAAATGCACACGCTGTTGGAGGCAAATATACTGACTTCTTGTTTGCTCACTCCACATTAGCACTGCTGACCCCTTGTTTTTTTTCTTTAATGCTTTTCCATACCATTTTCTCTTTTTGGTTCATGAACCAGAAAATAATCTTAGAGCGTGAAGGTTTAGAAAGATGTAGTATAGTAGTATCCTTGCTTCAGTCTTGGTCTAAAAAGGCACTGTGTGCAATTAAGCCTTTAAGCTTTGGACAATAAGTGATCATCTGATCAATTTCTTTCCTTGTGGGTCTAAATCAGTTGTTGGCAAACCATTAGTCACGGAGCCAAATATCAACAGTACAATGATTGAAATTTCTTTTGAGAGCCAAATTTTTTAAACCCAAACTTCTTCTAACGCCACTTCTTCCAAATAGACTCGCCCAGTCCGTGGTATTTTGTGGAAGAGCCACAATCCAGGGGCCAAAGAGCTGCATGTGACTTGCAAGCCCCAGTTTGCCAACCATGGGTCTAAATGAAAAATCAAACAAAACCATATTGAAATAAACACACTTCAAGCCACACCTGGATGGGTCCTGAAATACTTGCACCAAAATATAGACCTTGGAAATGATAGGACTGTTGTCTTTTTCCCATTGACCTTGTTATTTTTATAGTTTTCTTGTAAAACATGCA